TGTTTTCTACTTTAAAATGAAGATAATTGTTTCTGTCAGACTGCCATGAAATTAAAGCACCTGCTAGAACTGGCAGCACAGAAAGCACATTTGCCAGCTAAACTAGGCAAGCATATTAAGAAGGATGATTTCAAACTATGTATCCTAACCTGCAGTCTTTACCAACTGAGCACTTCAAGGCTGTTAATCAAAAGGAGTTGACTGAAGGGAGCTGGTTTAAAGACCATTTGCTCTTGCAAGGCCATTTTTTAGGTCATGGTCTAAAAAGTCACACTGTAACCAGTGCACAGCAGTAATAAGCATAAGAAAGTGGACAGGAAAAAAGTGTAAAAATTCAAAGTGATTTCTTCGCAACGTGTCTAAGAAAGCAATCCCCCCCTTATGTTTATGATAAATATTCTTGTCCCTGATACAATTTCTTTTTATCTAGAATAGGTAGCAATAAAACTATTTCAGATTCTCTTTTAAGTAACGTTCCCATTTATATTATAAGTGATGTTGTATCATTTTTATTTCAAATCTTTAATCTTTAAACCTTAAAGTAAATTGTACACACATTTCCCACCCTGATACTGGTGCAACTGATACAGGTTTTGCACCATTCCTTTACTTGTTTGTCAACATATTTTCAAATCCTTATGTTACAAAATCCTTTAGTTTAAAAAAAAAAATAATTCTAAGTTTCTCTCTCCAAAAATATTCAAAAGAATAGATGATGCATAGCATTTTATTTTATTTTTAAGGCCAAAGAGAGAACAAGGTGTCATCACACCAAACCGTTGGAGAAAAAACTGTTTTAGTGCATCCAAAAAAACCCCTAAGCATAGAGAAAGTAGATAAACTACTGTGTAAATGAACTCACAAGTGGGAAAAGGAAGCTTTACAGATAGAGTTTATGATATTAGTGAAACAGAGGTAAATGTCAACCCAAACGGTAACACCATCAGTCAATACTCATGATTGCAAAAAATGTTCTAGTTACTGCAAATAATTTTCTAGCTTTTATTTTTATATATATATATACACACACACACACATATATATACACTCATATAAAAGTTGTTCTGCAAGGACAGAGCCTTGGTCTCTGGAGTCCTAATTAAGAGTTGTTTTACTATAGAAAAGTCATGAAAAATAGTGCTAGAGGTTCATGTAGGAACTAATCTCTGTTTAAATTAATATATTTGAGTTTAAGCCAATTTAAAATGAAGGAAACAAGAAAATGATTGTTAGCAAGCTGAAAAGCAAGACCCTACAGTGGCATAAAACGGTAAATATTTGTGCTATGAAGGATCCCAAGGACCTAAAATGCTATTTAAGGCCCCTTGGGCTGGATCTTATGTAGCTGCAAGAAAGCAGCTACCTTGCTTGTCTAAATCTAGATAGACAAACAGATGTATCTTGCAAGATAAGGAGAGAACATGGAAACCAGTTCACTGAAGAACTGGCGCAGCTCTTTCCCATGTCCCACAGGGTTTTCCTACGTGCAGGGCACAGGCAATAAGCAAGAGAAAAGAAAAATAATATTTAAGGGGAAGGAACAACTACAATTGTCTACAGTTTTTCTTCAGAGACGGGATGGAAAATGAAGCAAAAGGAGAACGAAGGGATGTAGAGACAGAACAGTCTTGTAGTGGTAAGTTCAACTATTATTTTCAGGAAATATGTAAGAATTTTTACGTTGAATTTAAACATTGTCCAGTGGGTAACAACAGTGGCTGCTTTATTCTCAAGGCGAGATCAGAAGATTCCTGTAGTATTCTAGAAGTCTTATAACAACTTCTGTTAGTCCTTGTTTAGCAATTGAGGAAGTAGACTCAAATCTTAAGCCTTTTTGTTATTTTGTAGGGGGTTAAATTCACAATAAAGAATTTTAGTCAGACACGGGGTTTTATTTTGGATTTGTTTTCAAATCCTCATATTAGAGAGGGCAAAGATCTACGTCTCCAAATGTTTTTCCACATACTTTTCTGGTTTTAATTAAGTTAATATTGGATGCATATTGTATTTCAATATCACTACAATTACAAACAAAAATACTTGAGTATGAATAAAGGTTTTTTTCCTGTTATTACCAATAATAAAATTACTTCCACTATTTAATATAGGCACACACTGTGAATGCTTGGAGCTTTCTCTAAGTGTCATTTAAGTTCAGACAGTCAAATATGTATTATCTATGTCAACATCTTTGTGGAAGCTTAGCTGTGGCAGAGGAAACCCTTGAAGAAGCATCACCCGTGTCCCTACTAAAGCATTGTGTGGAAGAACTTACAATTTTTGTGATTTCCTAAAGCTGTATGACATCTTCTGACCAGTACTGGCCAGTCTCAGTATTAAAATCTCTGTCTAAAACAGGAGTTGGGTTGAACAAACTACAGCTACATTAGGATTGTTACTCCCTACCTGCTTTGAAAGCAGATTATTTAGACATAGCACACGTTTCAAAACAATTGCTACTTTTTTATTATTACTATTAAAGAAACTGGCCATCCAGAGCGTTCATTCACTACAGCAGGACGTTTATCATTGTCATGCTCATTTTCAGCCAAGCATATGGAGTTTTTCCCTTTCTAGGTTAAGTCTTCCATGCCAGATGGGCACATGAAGCCCCAGAGATTACTTGCAAAGCTGCACAGAAAACTGAAATACAGACTGGAGGAAAGAATGCTCCCAATGGTTTGTGTTACAGGGGAACCAATTTACTGAAATGACAAAACTTTCCTGTTCACATTTAAGTTTGCATACATCATTGATTGCCTATACTGGGATATAAGCAATTGGGAAGGAAAATAAAAGTCTTTAGTGAAAATTAAACATCCAGAAATATGAAAAATAAGAATAACAGCTTCCAGGATTTTTGCAGTGGTTTCTTACAGATACCCGTAAGAAGGACAGAGAACTGTCCAGCGTGAAAAGTGAGAAAGACAGGAGAAAGCATTCGGTGTTCAACAACAACTCTCAACAAGAATCTGCTTGCACATATGGAGTACAGATGATACTCTGACACAGGTGTAAGTAAATATTATTCCAGATCCTCAAAGAGAAATTCTAGGATACATTTGAGAACACAGATTTCCACTCCTGATACAACATTTTTTAGAAGCGGTTTGTTTTTCCTAAAGGTGAGTGTTGAGAAAGCTGCGTGTTGCTTTGCTGTCTTTATTTTCAGAAAACAGAAGGTGTGAGACATTTATGGAAGGACCTAAGGAAGCAGAGGCACCTGGAATGCATTCTACAGGTGTTGTGAAAGGAGATTCCACTCTTCCCCCCACCCCACAGGAGGCTTCTCTTCCTCACCCTCAGCATTTGCTCAAAACTGAAAGTTAAAGAACTAATTTACCACTGTATTTGCTTAACTAGATAGTATGCTACAACATGCATTTTAAGTACACCAGACTGCAAGGATTCTGAATTTATATGCTTTCTCCTCCAAAATTTATTACAATCTTTTCACCTTTTACATACAGCAAACTATAACATAGTTACTGAAGCGTTTGTGGTACTCAAGGATACACAATATTAATTGGTCAATCAACTTGCATTGACACACTGGATTTAACATGCCTCACTGAATTACTGATCTGTTTTCTAACCTTACCAAGTCAGTCTGGGGCAGACACATCTGCGGTTTAGCTGAAGTATTTTTTAAACACCTGCTTCCTTAACTATTGTAGTATCACTAGTTTGAACGGAAGCGCACACATCATACCTTGCATGTTTTGATGCCTGACTACACACTTAGTAAATATTTATTTCATTAACTCTTCTTCACTCTTGGGAAAAATTTCTGCATTTTTTTTGGAAACAACAGTTTTACTAGTATACCATATAATTAATTGATTTGTTCTGTACTGAAGTTGCGAATTAAAGCAATTCTTCTTTAAAGAAAACCCACAAACATGGTATTTTTTGAGTATTCTTGTAATACCAAGGAAGAGAACATGTATCAGTACAGACATGCTTAAATCAATTGCCACCATTGCCTTATTAATGTTCTCCAGTTTTTTAATTAGAAAAATATATTTTTTAAATATACTATCATGGAAGAAGGGCAATATACATCCAACAATACCCTTTAACTTGATAATACAAAACATTTAACAATAAAAGTTGAAGGGAATATTAAGCTAAAACTTCTATAATTTCCAAGTGTTTCATTGTCAGAAAACTCAGATGGTCATTTACAGCATACTTTCAGCCTTTTTTTCCCCCCATGAGACTATCACAACTGCTATACAGAACTTGTCACACCACATTACAGAATTGTGATTTTTACTATAAAGTAAGGATTATTTTGCAAAGAAATTAAGAAACGTGAATATGGTAAAGAGTATCAAGCATAAATAGCTTCAGCGTTTTGTATAAAGCTAAGAACAACATTCAACTTTTAAGATGACTACATGGAACTGTAATTTGCTGATTAAACGAGATTAACTATTGGACATTCTTGTAGCAATAGTGCTTAGGAAGCAATGCAACAGTTGTATTTTACAGCTTATGAACAAAAAGAAAGCATTGCTAACTGTTATTATTTCCCTGCTTCGATAGCAGCATGTGCCTCCTATCTCAGAGCTATCTTTAGTAAATTCACTGTTAATAACCTAAAAAGTTTAGGAGAGTAGAATAATAGAGACGAAAGACAACCCAGCTGTGTAAGGCAAGGCTCACCACCTGACAAACTTGCAGAACAACAATTAAAATACTAGTCTGAGTTGTAAATCAGAGTAACCTGAACTAGAGCTTACCACATTTCTAAAAGTTATTTCTATTACAATTAGGAACCACATTGATTTTATTTTCCTGTCTTATAATACATCTTACAGACAGAAAAACAATGCATATTACCTTTTGTACTAAATCTTTATAAAAGCATTTATGCTCCAAACTTCAGCATTGTGATAAATACTGTGGATGTAAGATGATGTCAGATCGTTTTATTTCCCTGCCAAGCATTCTGTAGATGAGAAAATGAAAGACTTGTTCCTAAGATTACTTACCCATGAAGTTCAGATAGCTCTCTCCTCCAAGTGCATGAGTAATGAGACGAATCATTTTATGAAGCTGTATTCCACGATCAATAACTGGAGTAAGAGGCGAAAGCACACTCATGTTTGTATACATCTCTGCATCCATCAGTCGAAACGCCAATGTCTTATCACCAACAAGCGCCTATAACAGTTCAAAAAAAAAAAAAGTGAAAAAAACCCTTGGGTGTCCTAGAAGTGTTTCTGACTTTTTTTTTTTTTTTTAAAGCAGGCGCTCTATATCATAAGAGGAGGACTTGGAAGATTGGCGAGCAGTCAAGGACACGACGGTGGGCGCGACCTGTTCACAAAGAAAACATCCTGCCACCGCCGATGATCATCAGGTCACAGTGACCACAGCTTCTAATTACTGCAACATTGTATTGCGTGTTGTGTAATCACGTGGGCATGAGATATAGATAGATAGATATATATATATATATATAAAATCTGCTGCCAAAAAGAGAAAGTATATAAATCGAGGTAGGGACGTCCCTGAGCTGAGCCTCGACTGGATGCCAGACCCGACCATCTGTTTTCCCCTTGCAACCCTCCATGTGGTTACTGGGGCTCCCCGCACCAATGGGAGTGTGAGTATATGATCAATAAACTAATAGCTGTCTAACCCCTGTTGTGGTCCTACATTTCACCTGATAGGATCGAACTGCACAATTACTTCTGAGAACCTTCTCACCTACAGATATCAAATGTGAAACGTTAGCGTCAACTCAATAAGCCGCAAGTGACCTACCATTTTTGACTTTTTATAGAAAACACAGAAAATAAGAAAGCAAACATCTCAAGTAAAGTTCCTGGGAAGTACAAATAAAGGGCTATTAACAACATGCCTGATTTAGAGATGCAGAGTGAATATGAAACCTTCATTTATATGCTATCAAGAATGTGATTGGTTTTCTGTGATTTCACACGAGAGAAAAACTAACTAGTAATTCTGTCTAAAAACAGTGACTGAATTACTACCTTGCTAGTGTTTACTGTTACTTGAGAAAGGCCACACAAATGCTATGTAACAAGGATTATTCTAATATATCAGCATGCAGGTAGTTGAAAACATTTTGGAGCATTTGTATGTAAATAGCTAATTTTTGTTCAATTAGCCCCATTCTCATTTTATACTCTAGCATGAAAACTCACTAGATTCCAGAGAGACAGATGAGTTGTAAACAGGTATAGTTGAAAAGCACCATCATTCTTTAGTTTTCCAACTAACAATATAACAGCATATCTAGATGATTCCCTCAAGTAAAAAAAGAATCTTTTTAAAATAAAAAAAAATCCTATGCAACAATGGCAAGACTGAAGACTGCAATGAATAACTGCAAGGAACAGCTCTTCTCTGGACTCAGAATGTGGCATTTGTTAGTGTCATTTAATGTCCCCTAACCTTTCCATTAGAAGAGAAGGTAAATGTTCCCTATTCACATTTTCTATGCCAGTCATGATTTTATAAACTGTTATCCTTCCCCCTTCAATGATCTCTTTTCTACCCTGAAATCTTAGTCTATTTAGTTTTCTCCTTATGAAAACCAATCCACACCTCCTATTATTCTTACCAACTCTCAGCATTTTTTCCAGTTAAGCTGTATATCCTTTGAGATAACAGGACCAAATCTGCCTCTGACGTTCAAGATGCACACAAACCGTGAAAGACTACCATGGCATACTGATTTTGCTCTTTGCTCTCCATTCCATTCGTAATTCCAAGTTCTGTATCTGCTTTTTTGATACCTATTAGCATTGAGTTGCTGTTTTCACACACTTCTTATAACCATGAGGCTCTGTATTCTGACTGGTAATAGTCAGCTCGTAGCCCATTATTACAGATCAGAAACTGGAATTGTTTCAGCCCCTCATGTGCTGAAAGTATCTCCACATTGAATTTTATCTACACCCCCATTTTGTTTCTCTATCCTGCTTTTCACATATCATCCTGGTGTCCATCTGCAGTCGTCATAGTTGCTCTTTTTTTTTTTTTAATTCAAAATAAATAGATCTTCTTCCCAAGTATGAGATTCTAAAACAAAAATACATAGTGATATGGAAAACAACTCAATTGATAAAATCCAGCATGAAGTAAAAGAACAGCAACAGTAATGTTATATGTCATGCTTTAGGATGAAGCAAATAATCACAGAATAATATGCATTTCCAAGTAATACCTGAAGTTCTTCACCAGGATTGGGACTCTTCTCTCATGCCTTAAGTAAACACTGTGTAACAGTGTGAGGTAAGAATGTAAATAGGTACACAAAAGGAAGCCAATAAACTCAGAATTGTCTTTTAAAAATAAAATATAGGTCTCGTTTTGGACAATTCTGTAGACTTTTGTTATAGAAGGTATAGGAAATAGAATGTCAACCTCTATCATGTAGAGGAAAGAGGTTAAGGTAGGTTACTTAAACCTTTTATTAGAAAATGGATTATATTTTTTAAAGTTCCTAATTTTGAAATTCTCAACCAATGTGTTTTCTCATTCTTCAGAAACAACCATTACAAAGGATTGCGGGAGATGAGCGTTATCCAAACTTGTCATTACTTTTTCATTTTTTTTGCGTACAGAACCATTACAATTGCTGTGTTTTGAAGTGTTAAAGAATATTTCATTTAGATCTCTAAAGAGGATTGGCATTTGCAATCCTTCCAGAGAGGAAGCATTTTCTTGAAGGGAATACAACAGTTGCAAACACTGATTCAGTGAACAAATTTGCTAAATTGTGATATTGTTTATGCTTACCATAGATAGTTCTCCAGCTTACTTTATGGAAACCAGATTTTCAAAAGTATGGATTATATGCCTTCCTATGTCAGGCAGGCAAAACAAGAAGCTAGGATTCATTTCTTAAAAAACAAAACAAAACTGAAAAATAGCACCACCCACGCACTCCAAGCAGGACTCCTTTATTAAAAAGAAGGATCAAAACAAAACAAAAAAAAAACACCACAAGAAAACCCAAACAAAAAAAATGAGCAGTAGTCCAGATCTACCTATCTCTGAAACTGTTGCCTATCATTCTCAACTCTTGCCCCAATTTTTAAAAAAACAAAATCTACTAAGCCTCTAAACCTCATCTTTTACTTGCTTATATATAAACAAATAGATACAATACCTGATCATGGCTCTCTGCATATGCAATGTACTTTTCTTCATACCGTCTGTTTGTTAATGTATACACAATATTGCCCATATTCCAGTCTTCATCTTTCAGCTCCTTAATTATCTGCAGAAATAAAGAAAAGATCATTGAAAAGTTATTTCTGTTTTAACTAAAAGCACATTACTACCGTTGTTCATTATCTTGGCACAGAAATTTCCAATGAATTGTGAACTGTGTTACTTTAACTTCTCCTATTCCCAACTTTGGAGCAACGAGCTTTCTCTGATAATCTAAAGATTTGTTTCTTTTGAATTCCCCTACTTAAATATAATAACTAGAACATTTTGTTTCTCCTGTACTTCCACATATAAGCATGGACAATTGGACTTGCCATCTATCATATGAATCCTCTGATACAGTGGGCAATGCGATTGCTAGGAGCTGCAAACGAGCACTGCACCAAAAACTGGGGGGGCAAAAAAAAAAAAAAAATGTAGGCACACACACCTACCTACACGCGGTATTGAAAGAAATCCTATATTTCAATAACCCTGGCACATGGCAGCTTCCAAATGTAGCTGAAGGACTGGGTTGTGTGGTAGAGAATGGATCACTGCAAGACAGCACTAATGCTATTGCTATGAAGTACACAATAACATGAGAAGGTGCTCAGTGCAGAGACTTGCATGTTCCCTGATCTGTGAATTCCCAGTCCATTCAAAACCACAGGTTGAATGCCAAAGCTTTGGAATACAAAACAAGCTTTACATTTTTTTTGTCATGCTAGCTCCTGATTTTTAGGAATTTAATTAAATCATATCAATAGCAATTTTCTGTCTCATATGACACTATTTCCTCCCTCTTCTAAACCTAATCCAATATCAGTCTTAGTCCTTTCTTTTTTCTGTAGAACTTTATAGACCTTCATTGATCACTACAACTGAAATACATATAGATAAATATATAGACATAAAAATAAAGGTAATTAAAAGGCAATAACATCAAGATGGCTAATATGATGCTGTAAAATTTAACATTCTGATTGTAACTGGCCATGTACTCCTAAACAGCTTTTTTTTTTTTTTTTTTAAATAACTCTAAATTCTGGCCCTGAAAACATTCAGGTCCCTATGCAGCATCATATTATGTACTAGATCGATCTTTAATGTGAACTAATACAGCTACTGTTATTACAATCAGCTTATCTCACCTACTTTTACAGGTCCCTCAGAATTACTTCATGGAACCCTGGAGATCCTTCAGGTCTACAACTGCTTTTAGGAAGTTGCCTAGAAAACTTTCTATTAACAGGTACATACTTAAAAGCTGGAGAGAAATGAGAGCAAGCAGTCTCAAGTTTAATGATGCTGTCCCTGTTGGAAAAGCTGGCAAGTTTGCCTTCTGAATGAAAAGAAGGTTTGAAAACTGGTTTTCAATCTGCCCTCCACCTCCTAGTTACAAAAGTGAAAGACGCTGAAGATAAGTTAATTTGCTTTTTATTTTAAGCTACTTACTACATTGATTGAAGCATTAATGCTCATATAAAACATTTATTGTTTTCAGATCATCATGATAGCCTGAGGGATTTGGATGCAATCTTCTAACTGAAAAACATTCTCTAAGACATCAGTAGAAGCCTTTTGAGATCATTTACTGTTTTATTCCTTTTCTTGTGATTCTCTGTATTAAGGAAAAGGTGATTTAAATCCTTATCGTAGTTGGTGTTTATTAGTATATTATTGTTCTTGAAGAGCATTTACAGATTTTTATTATTCTTTTTGTAACCCCACTAGTGATTGCTGGTGTTTGCACAATTCACATTTACTTTGGTTAAACTTTCAGCTCTATGTTCAAGGCCAATTATTATGCCCAATTTCAGGAGGGTTCGCTGCATGTTTTTGTTTGTTTGGGGGTTTTTTAATATTTATATGCATATTGTTAACTTATTATCTACCTGTTTACATTCAATATAGACTACACATTCTACAGCTGTTGTGAGATACAGGTTATTTCAAACAAAATTAGTTTATGTGTATTGTATGAAAAAAACAAATATCAGCTAGAATGCAAAGAACAGCCCCTGAACTTACTTATCTTCTGAAACCTACATGATATCTTACAGCTCTCATTTCAGCCCCTAATACCTGTGTTCAAGCCTGTCAGAATTTATTTTAATAGGACGTTAACAGAAGAGAGAGTAAAATTTGTCAGTAGGATTCAGAAGTGTTTTTGTGTATGCACAGATGGAGAAACATCCCACTTTGAAGAGCAGAACATATTTTTAAAAAATTCTCACCTGTATCCACTTATCTGGAATAGCCATGGCTAGTCGATAATCAAAACCCACTCCTCCCTCTGCAATAGGACGACAAAGAGCTGGCATTCCAGAAACATCCTTAAATAAAAAAACACAACATATTTCACATAGCATTGCAATTATTAGTTCAGATTTTCTACCATACAGTAATACTTCTATACAAACACTCTGTAAACTATAAACAGCTTCATAGATTGACTTGGGTAAGGGAGAAAAAAAAATTCAGTGAGTGATTACTACACCCAGATTTGCTGTTTGAATGCAAAAGTTACAGGGAAAAGCATTATGACTTTTCTCTTCAAATACTCTACTACAAAATATTTTAATGGAGTAGATGTTTGAGGGGAAAGAGAGCTCAGTAGATGCAGAATTTGAAATAATCAGCTCTCTTGAGCTCCAAGTAATCAATAGAAAGTAGAAAGTAGTCAACAAAAGACAAATTAAACCTTCATTTTGTTTATTGATGTTTTACATAAAGAATGGCATAAAAATAAAAGGCTGAATATAAAGTACAGTAAAGAAGAAAAATACAATCTCTACTCTTTTCCTAAATGCACAAACCAAAACTAATGATCCAGCTAGCCCTGGAAAGTGACATGCTCTTAATTTTCCAGTTTCATATTGATGAAGGCTGATCATTCTTAAATTCGCAATTCAAAGTTCTTAAAATATTTATTTCACCGTTTTATTAGGCAATTATGTCACATAGCATTCTTTTTCTAAAGTTAGCTTATCTGTACAGAAAATGCAAATCTCCAATAATTGCGAAGTATCTATTAGTACTCAATTTTATTAACTTATATCAGTGAGAAGCCATTCCACCACAGCGGTTACGGATTAACGTACACCTTTTGCATCCACACAAGAGAATTTATGGAATTAAATTCTGACTAGAACCACGGTTTACTTAGGAAGCTCATTCTGGTTTCCTGGATTCAATCCAATTGCTGCATTAGACTAGTGAAAAAGATATTTGCACTTGAAGTTATACATACATACGCGTACCTGCATGCACACACCCCCTCTGCCCCCGCTCCCCACTGACATAAGTGAGGAGACTGACCACGCCATCACGAAGCTCACGGACGGCATCCAGGAGGCCGGAAGGCAGGGCTGCCATCCAGAGGGACCCTGACTGGCTGGAGGAATCGATCAACAGCAAGCTCAGGAAGTTCAGCAAGGGCAAGCGTCAAATCTTGCCCCTGGGATGGGCTAAAGCCTGCATCCATACAGGCTGGGGACTGCCAGGCTGGGGAGCAGCTCGGCTGGGAAGGCCCTGGGGCTCTGGGCCAGCAGCAAGCTGAGCGCGAGCCAGCAGCCTGTCCTGGCAGCAGAGATGGCCAGCACCACCCTGGGCTGTATGAACAGCAAAGCCAGGAGATCAAAGGAGGGGATCACCTCCCTTTATTCAGCAGCCACGAGATCACACAGAAAACGGCATCCACATTCCACACGCTGTAAATACTAAATAATGAAGCGGAAATTCTTTCCAAACTTTTAGATATTATAAAAAAGGGAGTTCAATAGTTCTCCTAAATCAGTCAGAAAGGATAAAAACAGACTAATGCTCTCCAAGTTATGCAGGACAAGATGATCTGAAACACAAGCCTTTCTCTGTGATGCTATGATCACAGAGATCTTAGCTGGACAAGGTCTGAGTCTGAGATTTAAGTAGCTCCCATCTACTTTAGTCACAATTCTGAACGCCGGAGTTTTGGGAAGTAAAATTCCAAATGTAATACTATTTCTATCTATCTATATCTACAGATTTTACCTGAACACTAAATAAATAAATAAATAAATAAATAAATAAATTCAGTGTTAGTTTCTTCAGTATATTTTCCATCAAATGTAAAATAGCCAATGCCTAAGCATTTGTTCAGACCTTAGTTTGAAATGAGCTGCATTAAAAAAAAAAAAAAGAAATCACAGCAGTAGGGGAGTTTTTGCCGGTTAGTTTTTACGATCTTCAGGCATGATGTAATTTTACTTAACATTTTTTCTTCTCATTATACAAAACTGTAATCACAGCTTTATTTAGAAGGCCAAAATGAAAAATAAGCATATAGTCAGTAATACCTAAACCTTAGAAATTACTAAGACAGTGAATATACAGAATATTAAAAAGCTGCAAAAATTATCAGTTAAATAATTAAAGAATATATTATAATTAGTTATGGCTAGACAAAACATTCCTCTCATGTGGCACTCATTCCATCATCATTATAGGCAAGCAGGCATTCTTCATCGCCTTCTGCAATTTTCTATTATGTCAATAGTTTCTCCTTCTACCATGCAGCACGGTGATCAATGCTATATTTCGTCTAGCGACTCCCCCAGGCAGTAAAATGATATATTGAAACAGAAGCAGTTTTCAACTCAAGCAAGCGAAACTGAAGACACATCTTACTAAAAAACTCTTCGGCCAGGTAACACAAGCAGACTGAACTCAGAATTTCATTGGTAGGAATGCTTATCATCTAAGACTACCTAGAAAATGAACAAATTTCACTTCAAATAAGCCTACAGCTCAATGAAACCGTCTAAAGTCTACTGGTGATTGCTCACCAGATGCTGTTTTTGATAGCTTGTTATTAAGCTTTTAGCAGTGGTTGTCTATAAAATAAAACTTTACCATAAGTAAGAAATGAAGTTAAGCAGTACTTTGTTTTCTGATACAAATAGGCAACTCTTAAGCAATACAAAAAGTTTTATTAGAAATCCATATAGTCCCTAATGATAACAGATAAATGCAACTTTTTCTTTTAAACAAAAAGAATTATTTAAACATAGTAACAGAAAATCCTCAAGGTTTAGATGATTTTCTCATTTAGATAAAGAGAAAATATCAGCAAGAACGTACCTATTCATAGAACTTTAATGATCTGGTGTTTCATACTATTAAAGATTTCATGTGCTAACGATAATATTTTTCAGTCAAAAAAGTTTAATTGTTCTCAATCAACTCAAGTAATATAGTCTATTTACTCCCTCAGAAACCTGGAGAAACTTAATAGTAAATCTAAATTAGCATACACATTCAACATTTATAAATTTATTGCATTTATTTTGAAGTGGAATTGTCAATTATGCCAATATAATTCAAAATATACAAAACTACACTAGGGCTGTTAATCTTTAGTACCATGAATCACTAGTGACAAGTAGCAATCATGCAAAAACAATAAACTAATAAAGACAAATCTCATTACAAGTTCAAGGAGATGAAGGAAAAAAAAAAAATCCCCACATTAATTAATGACCCATTAATGCAGTGAAATTTCCCGAAGTGCATATTC